GAAAGCATACTTGATAGGAGCATAATCTGGATAGTTTTAAAAATGAGCCTAAATGAGCACAAATAGTTACTTCTTCCACACCTCCAAATGCTCCTTCGGACATCCTGAACAGAAACAAACAACAATCCCGTCACTGGCTGTCCGGACAAATGCTGAGAGGGTCGCGTAGTCCCCTTTCTGGAGAACAAAAGGTACCCTGACACTCTATACCTCTTCTTTCTCTCCTTAAAAAAGGAAAACCAAATTGGTTTGCAATTGAGTTTACTTCTCGAAAACAGTTCAATTTGGGTTGACGGAATCTCGGGGACGGCGCCCAACTGATGAGACCCAAGAAGGGTGAAACCGGTCGTGGACTGTCAGAGTTTTCATCAGCCTTGTGAGCAGTTCCCTATCTGAAAAATATCTAGACATACTTTATTTACCCCAGCCACAACATCATGTCGTGCAACAATAGCTTAACAGAGCACATCGTATAATTTGATGCTTGATGCCTGTTGGACGCCGTAATTTCCGTCTCTTATTTGCTGGTTGAGTTAATTATCTGCGAGGGTCACTGCGATACACCTGTCATCCCCGTCAGTTTCAGTTTGCCACGCTAACGAGTGAAGCCCTGATTCGAGCTGGCGTTTATCATAAATTAAAGGGTAAGTCCAAAATAACCGCGGCACCCTACTTTATAAGTGATGGAGTGGACAGGTCACTTGAGGGTTTTCTTATCGGAAAAAGAAAACAGTTCCGCACATGACAACATGGATCAAATCGCGGCCGCTCATTTACGGTGAACCAGACCTTATTCTACGTGTAAACAAATAACTTTTTGTGACCATCAGCTGAGTGTGGCACGCGTTTTATTCAATGTTCTATCCTCTGCACATGAACTAAGCTAGATACTCCGGAATCCTCCTCCTAACTGAAGCGCATACCCTCCATGACTGCTTGCAGTTCAACCGACGGCAAGCCGTCCAGATGCAGGCGTGCGATAGGACTGGATGTATTGTCCTGAGGAGTCGGAAGGGTAAAATCTGCAATCGACCTCATTAATGGTATGCGGTTCCTTTGCTTCACCGTTATTTCTTCATTTCACAGTTTCTGTACGAGGTCACACATTTAACAACCACGTGGCGTGAATACTTTGATGGAGGATTTTGATGAAATAACGGAAGATCTCAGCAGCGATTGGTCAGCTACCGCACACACACACACCACTTATGTTTATGAAATAGCAAATTGTCCAGATACACTGAGAGTGACATTGTTGTTTGTGTGTCCTGAAAATTTGACTGAATGAGTGATTTAGTATGCAATTCACCGTTCCACCACCATTTCATCAGCTTGAGAATTTCGTTGAGGGTGAAAGACCAACTTCAGTATGATAATATTGAGCTGACACAGGACTAGTCTTATCTGTAACTTGAGATAATTTAGGACAAGAGGCAACGGATAAAGATTGCTTAAGCGATAGATCATGGAAGATGAACCCACCAATATATCTTAGCACCTCACCAACTGGCAAGCATAACTAAGTTCAAAATGGTGGCATGACGTGGTAGTCTGGGTAATGACACTAGGAGGGCTTGCCTATTCTTTCTAAACTTTGATATTCGGAAGGCCAAATGATATGAATTATCCCGGAATATATCACTTAAGTTTGGGATAAAGTAGTTCAATGGTATCAATGCCTGGCCCCAAAAATGGCGAATGAATATAACTCCAAATAGAATGGTTCCTAGGGACTGGTTTGCCATGCTACTTCTCAACTGGGTATTTGGAATATTTTTTAATATTTCATTTTTCGCATTCACCTCTGCCCGACGCATGACTATTTGGAATAGATGAATGCTTAACGGAGCTAAAGAACGCCGTGGTTTAACTAAACAGCATCTTCAGTCGTTTGTTCCTTCTTTGCCATTCTGCTCCTCGCTCAATTAAGCTTTTTCTTATCACAGACAAAAGTGACGAAGTGAAGAAGGTTACCAGTCACTAACAAGAGTCGACATCTAGACATCTGGCCGCTCCAGAGATTTCCCTTCCTATTTTTCGTCGTGGCCTTTCGTGAGTACCCAGCAAATAATGAGCTAAGTAATAGCTAATCACTGTGCTGATTAGTCACTCTTGGCCGAACAGTTGAGTGCCCACCCTCTGATCGGAATACCGCAGGTTCAAAACTGAGTGAGCTTGGTGAGATGTGCAATGCTGATGGTTCTGGAAAGGCTGAAGGAGATGTACAGTGCTTCTAGGCAGGTCAGCATAAAATGGTCTCACTGAACGGACGCAGACGGATCCCCATACATCAATTTCCGTGGGCTAAAAGACTGCTCAAAATGACAACCGTCCAAATATTTAAGTAACGTTTCTTCACCAATTATCCATACTGACTACTGGTTTACTGTTCGCCAAAATCCCTGATGTTTGTGGAGAAGCCCTTAATCGGTTCAATTCTACTTGTATCCAAAATACTATAGACTGATGGTCACACACCGGTCACTGTGGTTAGTCAGTTGTTACAAGCAAGTTTTAATCGGATTGCTGATATGTAAGTAAACATTGCATGTGAAAGCCAAGCTGATAAAGAATTACAAAACAACCTTGAAAACCGATGGCCCGAATTTAGAACCACACACCGGTTTATTGATCACAGGCTACTTTATCTGGTTGGATGCCATCGTTCAGGGAATAAACCTTATTCCGTCGTACCAAATCTAAATGGGCCCAGTTTTTTAGAGCTTCTGACGAAAGGAAAACAAGACACGCTTGAACTTGAGTATGCCGGTGGTTGTACATCTGGTACTAATCACAAAAAGGGCCAAAATCTCGAGTAAGAAAATTTTTGACTGGCTGTGCGAGATAAAAACCAGAACAAAACATTATGATTTGGTTATTCGTTATCTCGAAGTCATTAGGATGAGTTGCAATGAACCATGCACAATCCACCAAAACTTAATGTATATTCTGGGACGAAAAGAAAAGCAGGTGTAATCTATTGCGGGGAATTTATAGTAAACTAGCCAGGTAACTGTTCGATGACTCTGCAACATTCGACGACAACAGGGGACTTACAAACTCACTGAGTATTCAAACAAGAAGCGTTCCAAATCATTACACGAACAATTCTTCAGGTGTTATTAATTAACACCTGGGGATTTTTATCAATAAAAAGAAACGTTTTGTGGCCTTCGTTTGTGATAATCGATTGGATACACATGACTTCTTTGCAATCTACTATGAAACAATGCACGATCAGATCCACCGCGGATTAACAGACAGTAAAATGGTTGGTAATTGATCGGGTGGCTGTTGATCTGTTCGCCGAGCTTGGCAATTGATTTGCAAACGGTTCGTCACCATTCGAGGAGACATCTTAAGTGCGCTGTTGGTTGGGTAGTTCCTCTCTTCGTGCCTGCGTTTATATAGTCTACAAAGAGCAACCTTTGCGCTGTAACCTGGATTCTGATTGGCCCGTTCTTGATCTGTATTGCGTCGTGGTCGGCTTCACTGTTGGTTTGTGGCGTGCCTCCTATTTTAGTAGCCTTCTGTTCTATTGATTTCTTCTTTTGGTCCTTTTT